TTTTTAAACAGAGGAGCTTTATGTCTCAGATCGAGAGGGAAATGATGCAACTGGTGATGGAACCCAGGAGAAACCTTTCAAAACAGGTCTAAAGGTAGTGTCTCAGCTCATTCAGCAAGCAGCAGTGCATTTATTAATGACTTAGGTCTCTTACTGTGTGTTTTCAGAGCAGGGAGCATAATCAGTGTATCTGGTAGGTGTTAGATGTTCCATGTCTAAATTTACTTGGACATTTTTCAAAGATGGCTTCCCTTTTTTCTCTTACCCTGTGGCATTGCAGCTTTGAAGTGTTTTTGTTTTGTTTTGTTTTGTTTTTTCTTTCTTTCATGAGTCAAATTGCCAGGTTCTGTTTTCCTCAGGCACACTGAGAACTTGTTCAAGTTTCTTACGGAGTGACTCCTTAGAGCCCTTGTGGTGGGTTCAGCCCCTTCCAGAGGGGAAGCCCAGAGTCTGGAGACTCGGAAGCCTGATTTATAGCCATATTGCAAGAATGGACTCGTTTCTCAGAAGCACACTCTCTAACTCAGGAGTCTGGAGCTTGAAACCAGAATGCCAGTTTATTAATTTATATAATCTTGTTTCTCAGGATCTGGAATCTTCTGAAGAGTTGAGCACATTCTCTCTAAGCAAATTTATATGGGAAGCCAAATACAGATCAGGGGGTTCTTTGAGAATGTGGACTGAGAAAATGGGTATTCCGTGGGTCCAGTAGGCCCATTAAGGTGTGACCTACAAATCAGTGTCCCGGTATCCCTTTTGTTGGGAATGCTAACATCATTGACTGCAACTTCCCGCCGTATTTGGAAAATGATCAAAGTTCCCCCTTGAACATGCTCAGAAATGCACTGTCCCTGACTCCTTTTTCTGTTCTCCCGGGTCTGGCCACTTCCCCTTACTGTCAGTCCTCCTGTCCTGGGAACCTTCTCTCCTTTCCAGATGATTCTATGTAGTTTGGTGTATCATCCATAAGTCATAGGTCATAGCCTTTAAAGTGAAATCATATTTCTCTGGCTTCTGTGTTATTGGTGTGCCTCCTCCAAACTGACAGCTGGTTAGGTGTACATTTGCTGAATGTCACTGTTAGTAAAAAGTGTATCGCTCTGACTTGGGGAATTAGAGTTGACCCTTTCTGCTTTATTGGTAGAACGGGAGGAATTAAGGGAGGAATTTGTACAGCCCTTTAGGTAGGAAATGAATTCCTTGCAACCTCTTTTTTTGGGCGTTAGGGTAGTAGGATATCCACAAAACCCCTCAGGAATATAAATTTAAACAATCAAAGGCCACATTCTGCACATCTGCCTCCTGACCACCAGCTCTCAGTCCTTCTCTTTCCATGAATCTAGTCTTCAGCTGCTCCATCTCTTCATGTCCCCATCTCTGCCTCCATCTCTGGTGTCGCTGCTTCTCTGGATAGGGTCCTGCATTCCGCTTATGCTCTTCTCCCTAATGGTTCTAGGGCTCTCTGTTTTCTGGACTGTAAGATTAACAACTGCCCGGTTTTTATTACAAAACTTCTACCTTTACAGTTTTGACAGTCACGGTTAGTCAGGATAACAATTACTCACTATTGAATCATACAAATCTATTCCCATCTCTTTTCACCAGACAAGTCTAGACAAGATGAAAACTATTCAATTGGATGCCTATAGACACTTAGAAGAGATCCATTTTTGTAAGACTCAGATCTTACTGGTGGAGAGAGTGATTCTTGGCTGTCTTACTAACTTTTGATAGTGAACTGAGTGGAGGTTTACAGAGTAGACCATCAGTTTTACATTCAGCAAGTCACACATTTTGTTTCATCTCAGTGACTGTGTTCCCTCTGTGTAATAGCACTCATCCTACTTATGTGGTTCCTGTTTCTATCCCTCCTCCTTTCCGAACCTTTCTGAACTTTGTCCTTCGGGTTATTAGGAAAAACACGCACATGAAAAAAAATCACACAGAATAAACCCCACTGTGATAAATGTATACAAGAAAAGTACACACGGTTTCATGTCTAGTGTCCTAGTTTCTACGCTGTCATTTTGATCTCGCATGGCTGACCCTTGTGAAATACTTTGAAGGAATATTTTGAAGCAGTTAATAAAGCATTTGTTTTGCACATACTTTCAAATATCTGTTTATAAAAAGCACAAACTATATAAAATGCGAAAACAAAACAAATACGTAAAGTAATGTAGAATACAGCAATATCTGATGTGTCCCAATATTGGTGAAAAGATGTATTCTGCATATAAGATTTGTTTTTAATTAATTAGAGCTTAGTGTTTTGTATACTCAGCCATTACTATGTCGAGTTTCAAAAACCTCACCTTCTTGATTTCTTACACAGGACTCGCCTTTTAAGTGTGATCTGAAAGTATTCCCTTGGCCATTGTTGGATAGCTCTTACGTTGTTGCCAATTTGTTGATGGTCCTAAAGACATTTAAAATCCCTAGTTTCTAGTGTCCAGGTTCTGGCAAACTATGGAATAACTGAGCTTAATAGATAGAATTGCAAGTGAACAAACCTGAGAGGTTTCACTCTAAGGAGAATTCTTGGTGCATTGAACCAATCATTCTTTCAACATTAGCTTTTGATTGTTCAGGTCTTTATGCATTTTCTTTGGCTTTTGATTATGTTCTAGATGGTTGAATTTGCCTTGTAATCAAGGAGTGATTTTGATTTTAAATATTACAGAATTTAAAGACATTTCCTTTCTTTCCCTCCCAACCCAAGGCTTTGATGACAGTAGGAAAAGAGCCATTTCCTACCATTTACGTAGATTCACAAAAAGAAAATGAGGTAAGGTGAACCTAAACATCACAGAATTATATTTAGAGAGTATGTTTCATGAGCACATGAAAGTATTGAGAAAATTAAATGCATGTGTTTTTATTTTTCTAGAGGTGGGATGTTATTTCTAAATCACAGATGAAAAACATTACAAAACTGTGGCACAGAGAACAAATGAAGAGTGAATCTCGGGAAAAGAAAGATGTGAGTAAAGAATTTGCTACTGTGGAAGTGATTTAAATTAGGGTCCTGACTCCTGGTGTGATGCTGGAGGATCAGCACTGGACTGAACCTCAAGGTCAGCAGTTCAAACCCACCACCTGCTCATTGGAAACCCTATACAGGGTTGCTATGGCACTTAGAACTGTTTTGATGGCACTTAACAATAACAAAGCAATGACTGCCTGTTTGACAAACTGCTTTATCGTTAAAATTAGGCAGAAGACAATTTGCGAAGAGAAAAAAACCTGGAGGAGGCAAAGAAGATTATCATTAAAAATGACCCCAGTCTTCCAGAGCCCAAATCTGTGAGTGATGTGTAAGATTACTGCCCTTTGAACTCGGGGCCCAGTTCAGAAGGGGCTTGGCCACATCAGAGCATTATTTCCATTTTTGAGGGGCATACCACACAGTCTGTTCCTTTTGTTACTAGTTCTTCCTTTCCTTTTAGAAGGGATAGAAAGAAATGGCTTTTTAGAGTTGTGAGGCTGGTTCTTTTCGGTTCACTTTATTACCAAGTTTAGTAATTGCATGTTGAAGGAATTCTATCCAGAAAAGAGACCACAGACCCAGGCGTCCTGGCTTGGTTGTGCTCTATGCTGTCACTCCAGTGATTTGTTCCTCTCTCCGTCTCTGTTTCCTCATCCTGACATATCAGGAGTTTGAAATCCACAATTTTCATGATATTTTAAATCGATAAAAATTATTAGTAGAATTGCATCCTCTCTTCTTTCTGGGACCCAACCAGAAGTCCAGACTACAGCTCATTTGCTGTAAAGGAGTTTTAAATACTGAGATGGGCAGTCGTATTTTCTCCTACTTTTGTAGTAGTGAGGAGGCATTTTATGGTGATACTCGCTGTCGTCCTCCTCTGCTGACCTCCATCCATCAGGCACAGATCTAACCTTTGTTAGTGTCCAAGGGACCTAGACTGTGGAGCAAAGGAAAAGGCTCTACTGGGGCCAGGATGCTTGTATTGTGGAGAGTCCGTATGCCTATGGTAACGTCTGAAATGAACCAGAATTAGTGGTCAACCGAGTGTCTCTCCTGCCCAGTTTGGCATTAAGAGAAAGGAGACTTTGACTTTTTTTTTTAAAGGTTGAGTTTTTTTTCTCTCTTTCTCTTGCCATCTAGTATGGGTTCCTGGTGTAGCGCTGTAAGGTCAGCACTGGACTGCTAGCCACAAGGTTGCCAGATCAAATCTATCAGCTGCTCCTCAGAAACCCCATAAGGGTTGCAAAGAATCAAAGCTGACGTAAGAGCTGTAGTGTGGTGAGGATCTTTGGTTCTCACAGTAAAGTGACTGTCTTCTATTTTGTACCATTTGTGAATTTTAAGATTTGACTTTGTGCCTGTCCAGTATCGGTGAAGACATTACCATTTGATGTATTGAATGGCGCCCATCAGTCAGATGGTCTGTATTTTAACTTGGCAGGTGAAGATCAACATGTTAGAAGCTCACAGAGGCCAAAGGGTGAAGGTGTTTGGCTGGGTCCACAGGCTGCGAAGGCAAGGTAAATGGGACAGCTGCTCTCCCTTGAGTTTCAAATATCCTTGGTCATCAATGAAGAAGAATATAAAAACAATTCTTTATGAGTATTGTTTTTTAAATTTTATTTTATTTTTGTATCCTGGCTTTTTAAAAGCTAGAGTAGATTATATCCTGAATGTATCCTTTCTATTTGATTTAGCTATTGAAAGTTTGGGAGGCCTGGTATGGTGCTGTAGGATAAAGCACTGGACCACAAGATCTGCGGTTCAAACCCACCAGCCGCTCCTCGGAAACCGTCTGCAGGGTCACTATGAGTTGGAAGTGACTCGATGGCACTTAACAACAACAACATTGAAAGTTTTAAAATTACTTGTGTGCTGGCAACCAGTGATCAGGAAACCAAATGCCAAACCTACGGCCATCAAGTCCACTCCAACCCAGAGCAGCCCGGCACAGGCTTCCCGAGGCTGTGCATCTTCACAGGAGCTGCGCGCCTCCTCTCTCTGGAGTGGCTGGTGGGTTCCAGCTGCCGATCTCGTGACTAGCAATCTTACAGTGCCACTAGGGCCCCTTCAGTGACTAAGGGGTGCCCAGTAACTATTTGTCATGTTAAACTTGACTTAATAAAAGCCAGAGGCTGGATAACCAGAAGTTTGGAGCCAAATGTAAAACTCAATCCAACAGTAATGTTGACATTTATAATTAGTATATTTACATTTCAATTTTTCCTTCTTCAATCCTGATGTTTGATTTCTCTTTCTGTTTTTACTATTTCATCAGATGTACTTTGGTTTTGTAAGTCGTTTCCAAATCCTGTGTGTAAAAGAAATGGCACGTGGGTAGGGAAATGAGCAATTGGGTTCCCAGTCTGTGTGCAGGACATTCACACAGGTGAGGGAGGAAGACCACATCCTGCAACTCCGCTTGCTTAGTCTCCTGCTTTCCCTGTAGTTCAGAAAGGTCACATAGAGTTTGGAAGTATAGTGAAGAAGATAACAAATGTTTAACGCATACTCAGTAGTAATGTCCCTGGTAGGCACATTGAAGGATGTAGCTAGGAGGAAGGTTTGAACTTCTGCTTTTCTACTTTGGAGTTTCTGTTGCGTAAGATGAAATTGTGCTAAGTTGTGTTTTCAACTACCATCACAACAAAAATAGTAACTTGTTTTTAAAAATTGTGGAAAATAATTCTGTAAGTGATTTGAGAGCAGTCTGGGAACAATCCTTCTCCTTGTTTTTAGGAAAGAATTTGATGTTCCTGGTGTTGCGGGATGGGACTGGCTATCTCCAGTGTGTTCTGTCGGATGAGCTGGTAAATGGTTTCTCTTTTTTATGACTGTAAGGAAGCACCAACTGTCCCCCCACAGCATTCTCTACTTCTCAGGTGGGCTCGAGAATTGATTGCAATGGCCACACAGAACTCAGGCAGGACTCACAATGAGGGGGTTCATCAGGGAAGTTAACACATTACAAAGCAGGATCAGAAAATGCTCAGGATACAGGTGTTTGATAAGGACAGCTTCTCTGCCATGCCCACAGGCAGGCCTCTCTCTGGCCTGGCCTCTGCCCTCAGAGGCAGTGTTACAAAGCTCTTTTAGCAATGGTGATAAGTCCCAAAGGACACTCCGCTCTGCTATAAGCCTCAACCTGAAGGCGCTCAGCTCTAGCTCCCTGGGTGGACACACAGCAACCCTAATGTGAAGTGCATGGAAGCACCTCACTTGGTAAACGAGCCTCCTGGCCAGAGACACTCAGCTGTGGTAGCTCTGTGGGCTTGGAAGTCCACCGCCCTTAACATGACTCACAACTGAATGAGATAATCCAACGTGCTCTCTTCCCCGAACCCATCAGGAAATCTGTCTCCTTCACAAAGAGTTTTCCTTTACTAGTATTAACAGTTGGTAGCTGCCTGGCTTACTGTACCACAACTAGACCACCTAACATGTCTGTAAACAGTCGCGTCAGCTTTCTCTCCCTGACGTCTTTTCATATGAGTGAGTAGCTGAGTTGGCCTGTTCGTCTTTTCCAGTGTCAGTGTTACAATGGGATGGTCCTGTCCACCGAGAGCAGCGTCGCAGTGTATGGAATGCTGACTCTCACCCCAAAAGGCAAGCAGGTGAGTTTCAGTTAGCTCCTCACTTGGGGGGAAAGGCTTGTTTGTTTTCTTACTGTGTCTATATTTGCTGGTGTTCGGCATGCAACTAAGAAAATGTGTTGGGCTTACTAAATTTAGGGTGCCTTTTCCAGTGGAACATGTATATCAGCCTACACAACTCACACGGTGAGAGGAGCTCAGGGTTTTCCAACTTTACAGAATTTCTAAATAATCCTCGAGTGCTGCAAAGTACCCACTGTGCCGTGGGTGTGAGAACCACTATTTAGCTAGGTAAAAGTAAAAAAAGTAACAGTCCTCTCCCTGAAAACTTCAGGAAGGAACACTAAGTTAGAAAGTTGCTGAATAGAGTTCAAAACCTGTTTTTTAAATTTATTTTTTATTGTGAATTATGTGATAGTTTACATGGGAAAACATTAGTTTTACATTCATCCTATTGTATATCTTTTCATTGCCATGGTTGCAATCCCCTTCATGCATCATCATCAACCAACCAGAGTATATACCCTGCAAGCCTGCCCCCCCCCCCAGTCATCAACACACAGCTCCTCTCCCTCTCTGGATCTGAAGTCCCCAGCTGCTCCATCTCTCCACGTCCTTGGCTCTGCCTCCATCTCTGGCATCACTGCTTCTCTGGGTAGGGTCCCGGTCTCCACTCTTCTCCATTGATTGTCCCAGGGACCTCTGCTCCTAGACTGCAAAGTTAATCACTCCCCTCCTTGCTACAAAATGTCTTCCTTTACTTTTCCAACCCTTACAATCAGTCCTGATAGGAATTATTCACTATTGTATCATAAGAGACCAATTCCCAATTCGTTTTATCATCCCCACTTATACAGATTGGATACTACTCAGTGGAGATTCTACTTTCCTCCGCACCCTCTAGATCTAGACTCCCTCCTGAAAGCTTGTAAGCTAGTCACTTCTTGCCTTTGTAGCCCCTCCGACTTTGGGTAGCCACTGTCCAAGTTACCCATCCCTGTCTACTCTGTGTATGGAGGGGGTGGGAATGCTGTAAAGATTTGTTCCCTCTTTTGAGCTACTGCATCCATAGGTGTAGGCCAAGTTCATCAAATTTTATCAGATTACTCTTTTTTTCCTCCTCTTTCTTCTTCTAGTTGAGCTCTTATTATCCAGTCATTGAAGCCAGGTCAAGTGGGTATTATCTGCAAGTGTGGGTGTTCTTGTGCATATGCCCTCTCTGCTCATCAGCTGGATGTTTCACTCTCCACTCTAGTCCTCCATGGCTATGTCACTGACTCTGGGCCCAAGAGTCCCCAGGTCTTGCAACACTGCTGGCCAACCAGGTCTCCACCCGGATTCACAGGAGTCTATTGAATGTTGTAGGGCTTAGCTTGCAGCTTCATTACTGTTTTTCCCTCACTTTCCCTTATCGCTGACAAACATGGTCACGTGTCAGAGTGTGTATTCTCATTGAGTCTTAGTGTTGGAAGGAAATTTGCTCTGAGGGGACCCAACCACTCGCCTTGATATCTCCTGGGCGAGCAGCTTGCTTGTTCTTGTAGTAATCGGTTGGTCTGCCTATATTGTTTTGTATTTTTCCTGTTGGTCTTTCTTTCAAGAAGTATCTTCTGTTGTTAGCCGCTCCAGGCTGGCCTGCTTGTCCTTTCAAGTGGAAATTTCCCACCTCAGAAGATTCTGGATGCTGTTCAGGATTCCACTTATGGTCTTATGTAATGCAGAGGCTCCTCTGGAAGCCTCCTTCACTGGGCACGTTATAGCCCCATTTTAGGTATTCCAATCAGTTATAGGCAGAAAATGGACTTACAAGCTTTCTATGGTGCTATTTCAGGCTATTCCCTTCTCTCCCCGTCCAGTGCCTACTTAATGATGGTATGCAAGGGAAACCAAGATTCAAAAGACAGCCAAGCATCTTAACATTCTTTTCCCCATTCCAACCATGTCTCAGTCCCAGTATCCCAGAGCCCTATTTTTCCAAGGGTGTGCATACATCATTATTTACCTCTGTCCCACTTAGCCCATGGAAACCTGCCTGATTGTTCTTCCATTCGCCTCCCCCTACTTATATGTTACCCCCTCCCTAGCACCCAAACTATCCTGTGTCTAATCCCTGCCCTGTGCTCCACCTTCCCCTCCCCTCACCCCACCCGAAATCCTCTTTTTTAAAAACTAGGTAAGACTTTCGTGTTTCAAAGAGTCGTTATCTAGCTAAGAAGCACATCATCTATGCCGGTCACAGTTGTTAAGTGCCTTTAAGTCAGTTCTGACTTAGCGACCCTGTGTAGAGTTTCCGAGGCTTTAAATCTTCCTGGGAGCAGAAACAGAAAGCCTCATCATTCTCCTGTGGAGCAGCTGGCAGGCTTGGACTGCGGGCCTTGTGGTTTGCAATCCAGTGTTGTCCTGTGGAGCTGTTCCTTGTTGGTAGTTGTGTAATAAGTGCTGTGGGTATGTATACTAAGGAACCCTGGTGATATAGTGGATTAAATGTTAGGATACTAACTGCAAGATCAGTTCATACCCACCGGAAGATTCACGTTCTCAGAGACCTTACGGAACAGATATTCTGTCATCTAGGATTGCTGAGTCGTAACTGATTCCAGGGCAGTGAGGGGGTGGCTGTACTTGTTGTTTAGGAAAGAGAGAGCGTGTTTTACCTCCAGAGGCAGCCCCCAGAGTCTCCTAATGGACTGAAAATATTGATAAGTATAAATGAACTAATCTATACTAAAAATGAATTGTTGCACGAAGTTCATGAAATTTCCTGGAAGTAATGTGATTGCAAAATGGGTTGTTGTCGCAATCTTACTGTTCAGGGTTTGGCACCAAGTGAATTACTTCGGCCTTGATTTGTGGCTTTTAAAGTTAATTGCTTATAATGAAGTTGGAGTCCTGGTGTGGCACTGTGGATTAATGCTCTGGGCTCCAAAGTCATTTGAACTTCAAAATTAGTGGTTCAAGCTCATAAGCCACTTTTCAGAAACCATATACAGGGTCGTTGTGGGTCAGAACTGACTCATTGACACTTAGCAATAACAACAAATAATGAAGTTCCTGTTGTTAAGTGCTGTCAAGTTGGTTCCAACTCATAGCGACCCTGTGTAGGTTTCTGAGGAGCAGCTGGTGGGTTTAAACCTGCTTGCTTTGTGGTTATAATGTTTATCCTACGTTGCCACACCAAATCAAGGCAAAAAAGATACATTAAAGTGTTAACAGTAGTTAGCTATTTCAGGTTGTGGGTTACAGATCATTTAATCTGCTAA